CCTGAGTAGGAATGGATGATTATCTACATTTTCAAGAGTTTTCTGCTGCTCAGCCAGACAGGAGTAGTGCAGCAAGTACCTCCACCCTTTCTCTCCACCCAAGGATTAATTACTGTTGAACTTGTTCTTTAATATTTAATTGCCACCTTGGCTCTCCTTTTCATCTCCTCCCTTCTCAGGTGTCTCTGTGCATCTTCCAGGCTGGTCCTTGTGCTTTCCCTGGACTGCTTGTCTGAATCAGCTCCTGTACCTCATCTCTGCACAAGAAAAACCCCTCTCCCCGTGACCAGACCCCCAAGGGAATCCATGCAACATCAATGTGATGTGACACTGCTGGAGTCCATGAAGAGTCTTCACTACAGCTTAAACTCAGGAGCTGAGGTTGGTTTCTGGTGTTTGCCTCTGAGTGCTACTGACAGAGGGAAGTGAAATGRTTTGCTAGGGTTTTGTTCATTTGGRAGCTGTGTTTGCTGCTTCTTTCTTGCTGCATTGGACTGAAAGTGGGTCACGGTGCAATGATGTAGACCCACAACAAGCTTGTGTCAAATGAGTTGGCTCTTCATAGTTCCTTCCTAATTCACAAGGGGCAAATGAGCACRTCAAGAAACAGTAACCTGCATTGCTGGTGTTGGTTCTTGACCCACTCGTTTGCCCCTTGAGAACTGCAAGTTACAGGCCATCAGGCTAGATCTCTCTCCTCCTCCTTGATCAGAGCAGAAGCTGTGTGCCGAAATAGGGACAGTTTTCACCCATGGCAAACCAGTCTGTGGTCTTTGTGCTTTTCCCAAGAATTGCATTTCCATAAAAGATGAAAACAACCTGCCCAACTGGCTGCCCCAGCCACTTTTKAAAGCCTGGCACCCTTCCCACATTGTATCTTGTGTCCTATATCTGAAGGCTGGGGTAGTGAATTGGTTTAGTGAACCTGTATTAGACCTGGCTGTGCATGTCTGGAAGTGGGAATGGCTAATAGGAACCTACTTACCATTCACTGAGTTTGTACGTACTGTGGAGGCCCTGCACCAGAACTACAGGTTTCTCCAGGAGTGGAAAATGTCAGGTGAAGTCATGGGATTTTGAGCGGCAATAAACCCGGGCAAGTCCAGATCTTCCTCACAGGACTGGAGCCAAGAACCCAGGGGCTGGAGTGATGCACAAGGAGGGGGAAAGAGGGAACAGACCAGACCTCCAAAGGGAAGAGTGGTGCTGCAGAGCCTTGAGGGATCTTTGCACAAAGGGTAGGGTTTATATCCCTATGGGAAGCAACTCCTTAGCAGAGACAGACAGAGCAATGATTTTCAGTGATTTTATGTAGGATTGAATTGCCATGATAACTATTAACTAGCTTTGGCAGTTCTCATTTTATTGGTGTATTAATATGTTATTAATATGTATTAATATGTAATATAAAATAAATATCTTAGCAGTCCTTCGATCCCTAAAATTTTCTCTACCTAAAGCCTATTTAAGACTTCTGTCTGGTTCCTCCTCCTGGTTTAAGGAATATGCTGACCTTTCCTCYGGCTGGTTTGAGGCAATGCCTAAAATGTCTTTTCATCTTAGTAGTTCCGGCTGGCCAAAAGACTGGAGCTGGGAGTAAGTAGAAGAGATAAAGGAAGAATTTTCTTATTACAGGGAACTTTCTGCTGAGGTTGCTACAAAAGGTGCTTCTAGACCTCTTCTTTGATATACTGCATGTTTTCCTTCCTCCCTTCATCCGATGGGCTTGCTCATGGGGGAGAGGGCTCACTTTCCTAGCTCAGAACACATGGCAGGAGCATCTCTTAAACTGGGCCATGCAATTTATTGGCAGTCCTAGGAGATGATATGAAAGCGGCCTCTCAGTGGAGCCCATATTTATGCTCCTAAAAGTGGTTTTTTTGGCAGCTGCCTCCCAGCTTCTCCCAGCAGTTACCGAGTGCCATCTGTTGACTAAACAGCAGTCATGCAAAAAATGGAAGGGAGCTGGGCCTGAAGCTGGGTGAAATACACTCTGGAAAAGTGTGGACCCATGTCAGCATGGGACTGAGCGGTTCTAAAGGGGTTCTCATAGAGTGCAAAAGGAAAAGGAAGGAGGCCTTCAAGCCAAGGCAGTTTCTACTTGAGAAAGGACTGATAGAGGAAGGCCAGGAATGCCTTTTGGGGCAGTCAGATTCAAGATTTATTGATAGATCTCTTTCTTCCCCTGAGACTTTCTGTAAAATGGAGAAACAGGGAAGTCAGACCGACTCGCTGTCGAGTGTGGGACAATCCTCATGTTCCTTGCCTGCTGTCGAATGCTGTGTCCTGGAGCAAGACGCTGGGAGGTGCCTGTCAGAGATGGTCATTTTTGCTGTCAGGGAAATAGGAAGAGGTTTCACAGCACCCAGCTAGAGAATAAGGAGCTCAGAATTAGGCCATTCAACTTATTAAAGGTCTTCTGGAGATTGTAGAATGTCAGCATGAGGGTGGTGGACAAATTCCTGGGTGAGTAATTAAGCTGGTATCTCTAAATGTTCTTGGGATGTAATAGGGTTGTAATATATACTTGCTACATGACAGAAAATTGCTGCCACCGACTGCCTTGGAGAACTGTTGGAGAGCCACCGAGGTGGGGGTGCCCAAGCAAACAGGTTTCAGATTGTCCTGAGGTCCTGCAGGATAAAACGTCCCTGGGAAATGTCAGCTGTTTTGCCTGTCCTTCTCACTGGAGCAGGAGCCTGGGGCCCATATCTGGTTCCTCTTCTCACCAGGTAATGGGCCTCTGGGTCTCCCTAATCCCCAGAACTGGGACTGTGGACCTGTATGATCATCTTCATCTTGATGCAGGCACTGAACTGCTTGGAAGGCAGCATGTTTCAGCACACTTAGGAGCAAAGAGCCTCTGTCAATTCAGACAAGCTCTCTGTTGAGGACAGTCTTGGTAGAACTGCAGCCTTTTCCAGCCAGGACACTATGTGTATGCAAATGAATGTAAATGTGTTTGACCCCATTATATTTATAAAGTTCTGCTTTCTATATCCTGTGAGAATCCCAGGAGCACAAATAAGTCTCCAGACCAGCCAGTTCTGTCCCACTGTTGAAGCTGAAGATGCTGCTCCTTTAACTGGACCCTTTTGCCCATGGGTTTCTGTGTCCAGAATATTAGCTGAGTGCTTAGGTTCTCATCTGTCTCAGATGATCATGCAGAAATAGAAGCCTGTCATTCTTGCCTCTCAGACATGGTAAAGGCCAGCTGAGAAATGTCCAGCAGCAGAGTAGCCAACACTGCCCTAGAGAAAACTGCTACTCTCCAGAGAAATTATCAAAGGATCTTCTGGGGCTTTCCATGCCTGCTCATGGCACTGCTCTGCACCAGAAGATCTTGTCCACACCAGCAGTAGCAGCCACAACATGGGATGCCATCACCTGCAGAAACCTCTTGTGCGCACTTGGCTCCAGCTCCAAGAGCTTGAGCATAATATGTCCCCCAAGTTCCTGGGAAGCACAGGTAGCATTGTGGATATGCCATGCATGGATCTGCTAGGGCCTTGTGCAGAGTCAGGCCCTGATATCTGACTATGTGGGTCYCTATGTTAACCTGGACACAGATGCTGACCATGTGCAGACTTCTTGAGCCCAGGACACAGCCATCATATGAACAGGCAAATGCCCTAGTGCAGTGTTACTATGATCTTTACTCAGCCGAACAGCAGATCTTAGGGCTATCACTGTCCCTCTGGCCACTAGAACGTTGAAATGAGTCACCGCTTCACTCACACAAGGGTCTGTGCCCTTTTGGAAACCCATAGTAACCCCATCCTCTCTGCACTTCTGGTGGCTTTCCAGGGCAAAGAAAGGCTCCACACCTCCTGCATGTGCTTGTCTATCATAAATTTCTTGCGGAGCATATGGGCAAAATTCTTATGTCGTTCCTCTGGTTTTCCATCCCCAGCAGAGTCTTCATTTTCATCCTGAATGCAGTGGCACTGCCTGGGGAATGGTTTCCATTTCCTTTTATCACACCTATGAGCATTAAAATGGGTCAGTCTTTCCCTCTGAGCACTCTTACTGGGCTGTGCTTCCAGCTTCTCCCATGCCTTGGCTTTGATCCCCTATAGTTACAATGACGCATGGTGGAGGCATTGGATTCAAAGTYCTTCCAAGTCTTTGGGAGGCTTCCTTTGAGCCATGGTGGATTTGGAATGAAAACCCTGGTGAGGGCAAGTCAATGACTCATATTCCTTCTTTGGCTTCTGGAAGTCGCTTGAGCTGCTCCAAGGTGTCAGAGGGGATAGGTGGGAGCAGCAGGATTTCTCCTTAAGGTCTTATTGAAGTAGCGAGGGGCTGTGCTACATGAAGGTTGGGGCTGWGGAGAGGTCCTCATGCAACCAAATCCTCCCCACAAGTGCTCCTAGTTCCTGTTTATTTGCCTTGAGTCACTCCCTCTGGTGAGGGATGCTTTGAACTCGTAGGTGGCCTGGTGGGGTCCTAGACATGGAGCCTCAGACACAACCAGGGACAGAGCCATGAGGAAAGGGTCCTGCCAGTTTCCACACCCTCCATAGTTTGCTCTGCTCTTGCCCTTGCTCATAAATTCAACCAAACAAGTTCATGTCAAGTATCTTCCCACCTAACACTGACCACTTTAAGAGCAGGGATGGCAGCAACAGAGTCCTGAAAAGTGACATGGCACAAGGCTGGGGGTCCCATTTCAACCTCCAGTCCTGGGCGAGACCCTTGGGACTCCACGGGGCTGGTGTAACCACAGGTGGGCAGCTGCGCATGGAGCTGCCGGTAGCTCCCGGCAGCTCCGTTCTGCATCGTCGACCACGGCTTTTCCCACCTCCTGCAGGGAGTCGGTGGCATCCAGGGAGAGTGGGGCGGGAGGAAAGCAGTGAGGGGGGAGGAAAGGGGGAGTGTTTCTTTTAAAAAGAGGGCGAGAGCGGAGAGGAGGACGCGGRCGCTGGAAAGCCCTGTCCCCGCTCGGGATATTAGGCAGCCGGTGCTCTTGGCCGCGAGCCCGGGGCCGGCCTTTTGTCATCCAAACACCATCCCCGGGGCTGYGCGGCCGGCGCTGCTGAGGCCCGTCTCATGGCTTGCCGCGGCTAGGGCCCTGCTGGCGCCCGCCTGCCGACATGCACCGAGCCGTGAGTGCCGCCCGCGCCGGGGCCGAGGGGTCGGGGAGGGCGGTGGGGCGTCCYGACCCCCTAGAAAGGCCCTCGTTCYGTGACGGCCTTCAGGGAGAGGCCCTGGGGGTCCATTGTGCCCGGGGCAGGTGGTGCAGCTCTGGGTGACTTGTTGGTCGAGAGTGGGGGAGGCTGAGGCGGAAAGAGGATGATGAGCAAGGAAGGCTGCGTGTTGCCTCTGCCCACAAGGCATCGGGCTGCTGCTGTGGTGCCGGGAGCTGTTTTGGGGGGTATTTCTGCTGCGTTTCTTTCACCGCCGAGGCCCCCCCCGGCTGTCTCCACTGCCCTCCTCCTTGCTGCGCTCCCAGCACTAGCGCCGCAGGAACGGACGGTGACAGGAGCATGGGAAAAAACCCTCTGCTCGTGGAAAGGATCCCAAGGGATCCCCCAACTGGGGCACAGGGGAAAGACAGACGGAGCCCCTGCCTCCTACATGCACCCTGACAGTAGCTYCTTCCGCCATTCCGGCTCATCCTGTGGAGAGGCGTCCGGCCCCGTGGTCCCCTGGGGCCACTTTCCCGTTGGCCTGGCAGTGGCGGAGGGGGGTGCGATTCGCAGCCGTCTGCCAGAGCCATTTATAACCGCCTGCCCCTGTCGCCGGGACATACGGGCGCCTCGGCCTCCCCGGAAGAGCTTTACACCAGGGAGGGCGTCGCAGAGCTGCTTGGCATTGCCGGGCATCGGCCTTGGCCCTGGCACAGGCGGCCGAGGAGGGGTGAAGTGGCACCCGCTGAGGGAGGCAATCGCACAGTAATGGCTTCACTACCCAAGGGGAGGAGCAGCAAAATGTCCCTTGCAGTGGGTTGTTTCCAGATGGCCATGGTAATACCTCTGGGTCTGGGACAGGACATTTCTCTTATTATTTATTTATTTATTTATTTATTAAGTTATTAAGATGATGTTTTTAAGCTTCAAAGAGACGTGAGGATGAAAGGGCCGTGGTGCGGGGCCCAGCGCGCTTGGGTGCTGCCCTCCAGCTGCCCGCACCCCCAGTGTTTGGCAGACACCCAGGCTGCCTGTTTAGTCCTTGACAGGCAGCTCCCACCCAGGTGAAGGCCAGTATCTTGCACTAGGTGCCCCCCAAATACAGGATGAAACCACAGCCTGTATCCTGCTGAAGATAATATTTGTTTAAAATTCTGCTCTTAGAAATGGGCTGGATTTTTCTGTGCTCTTCCTGTCCTGAGGAAATACTAACAGCTCCGCTGCATGAGGCACGAGACATCAAGGGGCAGCTTCCTCACACRAGTTCTGTCAATATGATGGCCAAATAGGTTGACCACTGATATTTTTCCACTCTAACTACCTCACTGCTGAACAAAAATTGTAAAAACAAGTCAGCTCTGTCAAGAAGAACTCAACTTACAAGAGTCAGCGTCTTTCTTATAGAGGTCCAGCGAGGAGAAATCATAGGGAAAGACTCCTTCACTTACCCTCTACCTTGCTGGTGCGAGCAGAAGGAGCAGACTTGTGTCTCATTGGCAGTAGACTGTGACTGAGAAGGCCTTTCTTCTCCTGCTCCCAGGATGCCACTGTGGATGATGCTGTGCTAAGGAAGAAGGAGCAGAAAGATGTTGAGCTCGATAAGAAAATCCTTGCTTTGCGGAAGAAGAATGAAGCGCTCATACGTAGGTACCAGGTAAGCCTGCCTGGCACTCACCWTCGTTAGCCCTATTTGGAGGCTGTTTGGAGGCATCAAACAGTGATCAAACATGAGAAGGCATCAAACATGTGAAGAAACTGGACAGCGGTGTAGAAGCACCTTCTCTAGATGACGTTACTGTGTGAGAAAATAATTGGAGTGCTGGTGTTTCTGTGAGTGCAGAGGGATCCTAAAGGGAATTCCAGGTCCAAAGGATGCCAAAGACAAGCCAGGGCTTTAGCTGCCCATTGCTTACTTTGGCCAAGTAAGGCTACCTGAAGGCCCACAGRAGATGCTGGCCTGGCTTGTTCAGGCTATTTTGGGAAAAACATGATGGTAACTAGGAGTTCTCTGGGGGTTCATCCGCCCTTCTTCATGAAGGTGCACACAGAGCAGCACAGAGACCTTGGTAGGATCACTGGAAGCTGATCCTAGCAGAAGGTCCCTTGACCTGTCTGCAGTATGCTCACCCGAGGCCTGTTCAATGTTTGCCCACTGGGCAGGCAGTCTGGAGTCTCCTTCTGCAGGCCCAGTGTCTTACCCAGCCACTCCACATGCCCCATCCTAATCTTACCCAAACYTCGAATCTATCATCCTTGTCCTAGGCATGGTGTCTGAGCACAAATTACTGTGTCATTTTTCAGGTAGGGAGGTGGCTCCATGAAYCCTCCAGGAAATCTAAAACAGGAGTGCTGACAATGTCTGTAGGTAGCCAAGGACTCACTGAGCACCCCAATCCACTGGTCTGTGTTTTGGTGGCTCCTGCTGGTGGCTTTGGGATTGTATGTATGCCCATCTCTATGTCCCCACAGAGTCCAGGAGCTGCCTCTTCCCAAGGTGACTGAAATCATAGCCTTCAGCCATTGCTCATAGGACCTGATGATAAGGACTTATCTGTTTCAGGAAATAGAGGAGGACAAAAAACGAGCAGAGCAGGAGGGAATGGCTGTTACCTCCAGGAGACCCAAGCAAGATGGGCTCACTATCACCATCACCAAGGCTCACAACGTAAGTGCTGCCTCCTCCTCGCCGCCAGCCACCTCTCGCTTGAGCCCTACCCCAGCAAGTTCAAAGTAGCATCTCTGGTGGAGCTAGCCCCCAGAACAAAGCCTTTTTGGCCTTGGACATAGCTCCCAAGCCCTCCCAGTGGGATGTAAGAGCTCTGCGATGATGTCTGCCCCAACAGATGTTAACTGATCCACACAAACAGATTTCCAGCTGTGCCCCAGGCACATGGTGTGAACAGGCAGGTAAATGGATATGTGCCCAGGCTTCTGCGGCCCTGGATGAGCTCCAGGTGCAAACGTCGTGTGTGTCTTAGCCATTGGAGGCATCAAGAATGCCTTTGGGGTGCCTGAAGGCCGGGCAAAGTCCTGGTCTCCGTATGTTCTGTGAATGAGTGGAGCAAGCAGCCTGCAAAGCACTGGATATACTTATGAGTCCTGCTAAATCCCCAGACCAGTCCTGCTCTAACCCTTGGGGATTCCAGTGCAGACCCTGCGGCCCCTTCTTCCCCCCTACAGGCTCTTCGATCCCAGCTAGCACAGTGCCCACTCCACAGGCTCGGAGTGGCCCTTGCTTTTCTTCAGAGGTGTGTTGTGGCACACATTTTTCTCTCATGCAGGACCTGAAAGATGCAATTACCCAGACTGAACACTATGGACAAGATAGCCCAGTCCTCTTGATGGTGAGCACGACCCTCAGAAGCCACCTCCTTGGCTTCCCAGGCCACCTCTGCCAGGAGTTAGGCTCTCCTGTGCTAGCTTAGAGTGCTGCGGCAAATAACCAGTGCCAACATGTGTTTCCCCAAACCCCAACATTTTAGCCTGAAATGTCAGATTTGTCAAGCGCAGAGGATTTTCCGGAGCCRCCGTCCCAGTGGCTTTGGCTGCTGGGCAGACAAAGGGCCCCTTGTTCTGCAGGAATGTCAGGGCGCTGCACACAGAGAGTTCCCTCCGGGCCAGGCCTGCCCTTTCCCTAGCTGCCCTCCTCTGCTCGTGCTCAGGGGTTTCTGGGGTAGGGAAGGGAACCCCGGGGCTAGCGTTTGCTRACGTGCAGCCTTCGTTTCCCAGGACAAAAGGGTGGTGAGCGAGAAATGGGGGAGCCCYTGTTCTACGAGCCCCGGGCTGGACGTTGGCAGCGAGGAAGATGAGGAGGAGGAGGAGGAAGCAGACCACATGTTCACGTTCCGGATGGGCAAGAGGATGCAGCTGGCTGTTACCATGGACAACAAAGCCAAGGTGGGTCTGTCCTCAGGAGCTGTCCCCTGCCCACTCCATTTCTGTCTGCTGCTGTGATGCTTTCGTGTATCTAACATGGCTTGCATTTTCCTGTCCGTATCTCATTCACTGGAACTGGCCTCTGGGCCTTGCTGTGCCTGCCAGCAGCTCCATCCCACCACATGGAGCCAGTTCCCTTTCTGTAAGCTCGGTCACCTCGTTGTCCCTTCAGACCATCGGTGCCTTTAGAAAACTGTAGCTGTGAGCCTGGGAAGGGGAAGGAAATAAGTAGGAGCTCAGACAGATTTATCTGCATTATTCCCCAGCTATTCCCAGAGAGGCAGTTATGGTTGGCTTGTAAAAACAGCGTCATTTCTCCCTGGTGAGGCACCAGAATTGCTCTCTTCAGTCCAAAGCACAATACGGAGACAGGAGTACCATGGATTTCTGCTACAGCGGACAACAGGTTGGGCAACAAAAGCCAGAATATACTCATTATATTCAGGCTTAATTATTAAAAAAAAAAAAAAAAAAGGCAAGAAAGGGCAGAAGTAGTTGGAAAAAAAAGCTATTTCTTCATTTCCTAAATGCCAGAGCATCCCCCATGGAGCCTGTGCATCTAATCCCTCATAGAGTCTGTGAATTTAGCTGTAAGGAGCGAAGAGTCCTAACGACAGTGTCTGCATGACAGGAGTCATTCTGTCATTTAATCTGAATGTAAGGAGCAATAATTGCAATAATTGATTAATACTAGTAAGACCCTGGCTAGACAACCCGAGCCACAACACGCAGAGGAGCACAATGCCCTTGTGCTGATGGTGCTCATGTAAAGGGGCAGAAAGCTGGAACCTGTGGCAGCAAATTGAGCTCCCTTGGGCCCCCTGTTTGCTCTTCTCCTGGCCACGTAGCTCTGCACAGTGGACCTGCACTTGAAATGACTGCATTTGCAACAYGAATGGCTCTCACAGACGGGCAGGGCCCTGTGGAGCCCTTTCCACAGGACGCTTTGTCCTCCACATATTTTCTTCCCCCCACAGCGTGACAGTCCTTCTCAGTGGGCATTTTCACACCACACTTGCAGTGTGGGCCAGGCCTTGGATATAAGCCAGGCAAACCTCAACTTGCACTTTCTGAATGAGCCGCCGCAAAGGAAGGGCGAGGGGCGAGCTAAGAAATTGTTTAATATTCTTAAAATATTATAGGAGCTAAAAAAGTCCTCTGTGGGCAGGTTAAGCAGAGCGCGCCTTGACAGGACTTGTCTTAGCCAGAAGCAATATGGGGAGTGAGCGGGAGAGGGCATTTCCTGGGAAATCTGGTGGGTGCCCAGGTAGGGTGCCAGGCGAGCCAAGAAATAGGTATTTCTTGGCTCGCCCTTTCAGTCTTCTCTGCCTKATATACTGCAGGGTTTACTTGCCTTGCCAATAAGCTCAGGCTTCCTACTAGGGTTTTCACGGGCTAATGTCCCTTGACATAAACCCGGTAACACTTTGGGGCTTTCGTTGTGTTTGAGGCAGCTGGATGCCTTGCACTGAAGCAAATGGCTTTCTGCAGAGGGTAGCTTTGCCGTCGCTTGCTCTCAGCGCCTACTTTTTTCCTCAGGAAGGACTTTCTCAGTGAGCAATGAAGCCATCTTCCAAATATACCCTCCCAGCACGGGGCCTCCCTGGCGAGAGTCATTTGTGGTGACGTTATTTGTCTAAAACTCACTGCCTAAACACAGTGAGAAGCTCCAGGGAGCAGCTATTGTCTTAAACTAATGTTTATCTGTCTTAAACTAGTGTATCTGGTGTAGAAGTTATGCATGAATTGCCTGCTATTACTCTGCTAAGCCATCACTGGATTTACTTTCTTAATAATAAAAAGAATAAGAATAAGGAGCGTTAGCAAAGATGCCAACCACCTTGTATTGGCTCCTTGTGTAGGGCAGGGCAGCCCAACTCTGCAATACATTAATTAGCATCATCAGCACAGCCTAGGATTCCTGTGCAGGCCTAGGCCAGGATTTAAAGAAGCCAGACTGTGTTACCTTGAATATCCCAGGAAATTCAGGATTACCCCAGAGCAAAGACATATTCTGGGAATAACAAGTGTTGAGGAATAAAAGTGATGCACAGTTCCAGTGCCAAGTAACAACCAGGCTGAAGTGATTCAGGGGCTCCCAAGTAAAGTCAGCACATATTTTCAGCCTCTGAATCACTCCAGAAATAGAGAGCAGCCTCAAAGCCATGTCAGCCAGCATCCTCAGCAAACTTAGATGCAGTCTGGCTGGCCCTTGGTCATCTTTTGCTGCTGCTCTACCTACAGAAGTCCTTCTTGCTGCCCTTCACATTTCTCACCTCCAGTTTCAGCTCCTGGTGAAGCTCTGAGCTCTGGTTTTCCTATCTCCACCCCTACACACCACCCAAGTGATGCTTCCAAATTCTTCCAGATTTACTTCATATTAAGGTGTCTGCCTTTTCTCTTGACTATCAACTTGCACTCCCTCAGGGAAAGAGTCTTCATGTTTCTGGGGATGGTTAACGGGAGCTGTCTGCTCGGTCCATGGCAGCAGTGAAAGCAGAAGGCATTGATGCAAACAGAAAGAAACACACAGAAAGTGCTAGAATGGCATTCAACAGCTTGGCAGCAAATCCTTACTTTGCATGTGACACGTGGCTTCACTTATGTCAAGAACAGCAGAAATGGCAAAGGTCCCACTAAGGGCAGAGAAATTTATTAGAAGCTACAGCTGGAAACTGAAACCAGAGCTGTACAAACCCGAGGGAATTTATTAAAACAAAATTAAGATCCCACCATGTCCATGTAGATCTGGCTGCCAGAACCAATGGCAGTGCGGGAACCTACCGCTCTACTTGCATGCATCGCAGTAACCCCAGAACAACCTCTGCTGAGACAGCAAAATAAGACAGATGTGAAACTAGAATAAACAAGAAACTGTAGGTCTGATGCTGGAAATACTCCACCACCTCCTAAAGCATTTATCATGTGTTAGGAAGCTCGATGACTGGACAAGCGATAAAAAAAGTCTTGCTGACGGAGGCTGTCTACACTGAGGCTCCCTCTGTGCTAACATCTGCACTTCTGGCAGAGCCCTGTGGAGATGAGGCTAACGGAAGGCATCTTGATGTCATATGTCATGGCAAATTCACAGAGGCTTGCAGGACTTCCACACAAATCTGAATTCACCAAAGGGGGTGTTTGTTTCCACAGCCAAGCTCATAGCTGTGAAGAGTTCCTTATTTTCCCCAAAGGTTACTTGGGGATTTTTGAGCTCCTTTGCCAATCAAAACTCTGATACATGTGGAAGTCCAGGGAGAAAAGCAGAAGAAAATGTACCATCCTGTTTGCTCATCCCTGACAGATGAGCTGGGGAGTCATGCAGATGAAGAGACAGGATCAGAGTAAAGATCAAGATGTTTTACCMAGTCTCTCATCTCCCTGTAAGGCAAGAACAAAAAGGAACAAAAGTTATGGAACTAGATGCTAACTTTAAATGAGAAAAACAAGGATCTTTGCACAGAAGTTCTACTCCTTTGTGGAACTGATGGCTGAGTGCAGGAGCTCAGCCAGCTCTGAAGATATTTAGCAAAATAAGAACCAGATGCAAATGGGTGCAGTAAAGACACAGGCTGATACAGACGGCTAGAAATCATATCTGACAGTGGTAAACTGCCCTTCTTCAAGGAGTTTATGTATCAGCTTTCTAAACTGTTCTACTGCCGAATAAATTGTTCCAGAAATATGACGCACGACGCTTAGGAAGACCGTAAATTATCAAGGATTAATACACTTTAGGGTGGAAAACAGTGTGCGTGCGAGGCCCATCCCTTCTCTTTCACCCACTAGGCTCCAAAGTAGCCTTCCCTTTTACTGGGACACACTGACTGGGGAGAGAGCACTGTCATATCTGTGCCAAAAGGTGGCTTGCTTACTTAGCCAAAATAAAAATTAAACCTGTCTACTCAGTTTTTGTATTGACCKTAACCTATCGAGGGTGGCAGCTTTACCAGTCCAGGAGCCTGACTATCTGGCCAATATTTTTCTTCTGCCAGTCTGAGATCCTCTGCAATCTGCTCGCCGCTGTCCTAGGGAGGGTATTGCATGGGCTATATCCTACATATTGCACAGGCCTAGTGGAGGTGCCATTAAGCTCATCCTGTCCTTTGCAGGGCAAGCGGATAGTCAGTGAGAAACGCGCCGAGTGCTTCGGCGGCCCGGGCAGAGTGCCAGAGCTGAACGAAGAAGAGATGAATCACTTGGTGGCTTTCCGGCGGGGCAGACGGATGCAGATCGCCATCACCATGGACAAGAAGGAGAAAGTAAGTGCCCAGCACACACTCAAGTTGTAGAATGTCCTAGAATCACAGAATTGTTATGGTTGGAAAAGACTTTTGAGATCATCGAGTCCAACCGTAAGTCCGTCAACACCCTACCTATTAATTCATGTCCCTAAGTGCCTCATCTATGCATTTCTTGAACATTGCTAGGGATGGAGACTCCACCACTCCTCCGGGTGGCCTGCTTGATTACTCCTTTCATGTAATGCCTTTGATGCCATGCGAAGGGCCATGGGGCTAGGGTAGGAACTGGTCTCACAACAGCGCACTAGAGGAGAACAGTTATTAATAGTGTGGGGCTTGTCATCCCGAAACTTCTTGGCTTCCTTGGCTCTGCAAGACCCAGCTCCCGCAGGGCCTGGCTATAACCTACTGAATGAGTTGGCTGAACCTTGCYGATCTCTGAGACATATTTCAAATACTTCAGTGCAAATACCTTCCTCTTTACACACACACGAGGCATGTTGTATTTTCCTCTTCGGGAGCTTGCACAGATAAGTAGGAATGCCTGCAGCAAACGGGGTCAGTAATGACTGCTAAGGAAAACAGCACTCCACCGGAGCTGCCAAGCACACCCAGGAACGCCAGGAGACCTGTGCAGCACCTTCTCTGGGATGGCAGCTAAGCATCTGGTAGCTGCCCATGTTCAGCTTCTCCTCCTCCCCAGAGCCTAAGGATGCTCCGAAAGCCTACGAGCTCCTTTCTCACTGCTCCTRAGCACTTCCATGAGTGCCATAAACCTCCTCTTAGCCAGCCAGCCTCCTCCTTCACTAGTGAAGACCTGGTCCCTAGAGGTTCTCATGGCAGTTGTCACCTGGTTCAGCTGAGGCAACATGTGCACATCTAGGTGAGAAGGTGGGTGACCTGGCTTCCAGTTACATGAGCTTGAGGCCATGTCTGCTCACGCCTTTTGGCATGAACCACTGAGGATATGAGGCTTGGAGCTACAGATTGGTGATGTCCCTAAAGCCAGGCAGATTGGAGTTTGATGATTCCTATAAAGCTGTGCTTTTGAAACTCTACTTTCCAGTGTTAATGAACCAACTAGATATATGTCAGATTCCAGCTGAGCTCAGCAGATCTCCCTTTGCCTGGTGATTTCTYGGTGCTCACCAGGCCCTATTCCAACCACAGATAAAGAAAATCCCTTCTTCATACTTACACAGTCACAGCTATGTGTAGCTTCAAACAACAGTCAGCTACAACATACAGGACAGCACCAAGGCTGTGCCATAAAAAGGCTGTGTCCATAAAAACAATGGCCAGCCCAGAGACCAGCAGCTTCCGTAGGATTCAAGGGAAAYGGCAGCAAAAGGAGTAAATGGAAGGGGTTTCATGGCCACCCTCCAAACCAGAAGGACAAGACTAGCTTATTCCACCAGCACTTGGTCAATCTTTTCCCARGATCAGTGACAGAAGCAGGTGGGGCCTGAAGTGACAGGTCACGTGGTTACACATATGCCAGCTTGTGTTGGAGGAGGGCAGGGAGACTTGATCTGGCCCGGCCTGTCACTTTAGCTGTTTTACGCTGAGGAAAGACTTATCCTTTTAAACAAGTGCTTCCATTTCCTGGTAGCCATCGGGCTTGCGAAATAGAAATCCAACGAGTCTAGATTCTGCCTCAGTGCGATGTGTCTCCAAGAGGCACCAGAAGAACCTGCAATGCAGAGAGTGGATTTGAATTAGAAATACAAAAACATATAGAGCCTTTATTAAACAACCTCAGGCTGCAGAGCATGTTATGGGGATGATGAATACACTAGCTCATTTTAGAAAGAGAGGCCGACAGAGGCAAGGGGCTCTGCACGCTCTGAGAGGACCCAAGTCCTCCCTGTGCTGTTGGAATCATGGCACCCACAAACGCTGGCAGCCCTGAGCCTTTGTTCTTGGGAGTCCAGCTCCTCCCTGTTAGCCAGGGTTGGAGTGTGCCTCCTAGGGCACAACAAGCACATGACAACAACTCCGAGCCCTCCAGTACTGCAGTGATTTTGCTATTTATTTTAGGTTCATTTCCCCACATGTGAATTATTTTGCATTATTGCTATTGAATTTCATCTATAATTTTATGATGCTGGCATTCAATATCAGGAGATCTTTTGCAGTTCTTCCCTGGCAAATTATGCTGTTTGCCTTGAATGATTTAGTATCAGCAGCAAACTGTCATCCCTCTTGTCTTCTCCTCCTCAAGCCCATTTGTGAACACRTTGAGCATCAAATATTCCAGACCTTTCCTTTCCCCCTTCTGTTTTCTCTCCAGTAATTAGTTCTTAATGCAGAAGACAAAACTCCAGTTTTCAACCCAGATGGACCAGCTGCTGGGGGACGTTGTTGGGACATCATCATTGCTGTCTGAGTAGCTGTTTGTGAGGACCCAAGCTGAGACCCAGATTCAGTCCAACGAGGATTAGCTTTTGAGCTCCCCCATCATCTGGATGCAGAAATATCCTGTGGGTATTTTCAACCCACCAAGCCCCAGCTGGTTCCCAGCTCATTTGGGATTATTTGTGCTGTCCCTCACCTGTGGCATCTAGGAGAGGATCACATCCATCATCCGGGCTGCTCTCAAACCTACCTCCTCCTCCCCGTGCTTGCCAAATGCACTCTGTGAGAGCATATGAAGAGCATCCTCGTTATGTTGCTTTTTTTCTCCCCTCTATTTTTATTCAAGAAGAAAACAAATCAACACAAGAAGAAGAAAAAGCCTCCCATTCTTGCTACCCATGGTGCTTCTAGCTAGCACCACACTGTCGGCCCCAGACCACATCACAGSCTGCAGTGGCTGGGGAGGCTGCCAAAGAGGAAGTGCAAGACAAAAAGCTATTTTCACATTTTCCCTTTGCTGAACAGCCCTGGTACCTTATATTACCCAGGCGTCTTTTTTTTTTTTTTTTCCATGCACTGAAAGACAGTGTCTCGTGATGGAGAGAGGCGCCATGTAGCCTCTCTTTTAATGCCCAGAAAGGGCCCTCGCTGGCTCCAGGTCATCCAGCTTGGACATGGATAGACACATTGCACTTCTCTGGCCTCTAGGATGCTGCTCGGCCATCTCAAGGCTCGGGCAGCACAGGCTGMGCCCCAGGAGGAGATTTCTACTCCCTGCAAATGGTCTGTTGTCCCATGCGGCTACCTGGACTTTTCCTGCTGGATTCTCCCACTTCAGGAGGCACCAGCAACCACGTGGGGTCCTAAGAGAGAGGCAAAGCAAGCAGTTCCCCTAAATCTTTGTTGCTTTATAGTCTTCTGAACCAAAGACCAAACTGCTCGTTCTTGTCTTAGGAATTTAGGTGGCAGGGGGGCAGAGCCATAGGGCATGGAGTTGCYAGTCTGGATCCTTCCCGCCCCATCTCTAACTGCTTCATCCTAAACACGTCTGCGTCAGGGTTTTCACTGCAAGCAGAGCCGGGGGTAATGCCCAGTGCCGAGCAGCCGTTCTCCTGAAGAATCACTCCGTGATCTGGCAGCGTCCCAGGATCATGAGCACACGAGGGCTGTGGGCTGGCAGCCCAGGGCCAGCGGAGCACGGTGGTTAATTAGCCGGTTGCAAATCATGAGCAGCTGATACTGCTTCGGGGCTTTCGAGTTGCCGTTTTATTAACAGAGTTTCCGAGGATGATGTATCAGAAATGACTGTGGGCAACTGAGGGACGCAAAAGCCACTCTCACGGATGGACATGGATGGGAGGGAAACCAAATTCCCTGTGGCAGGAGAAACACTTGGCCGACGGGAGCAGGAGAGAGGCAGAGAGGATGCCCCCAAAGCCCTCAGCTCGCTTGAGGTGCTCCCATCAGGCAGATTTTCCAAAGGACTCAGGGGAAAAAATATCATCTCCTTCACTGAGTGAGATTTTAAAACATCCTGCCAAGGGGGAGAGCTGTGCATTCGCAAAGCAGCCCCGGGCTCTTTGGAAAAGCTCCTGTGCAAAGGGAGAGCTGATGCCGGTAGCTCAGGGAGGTGGGCAGCTGATGCATCTGTTGGCCCTTATTTTTAAAACAAGAGAGTAATAAAGCCCAGGGACCTCAAAGCCTATCAGTGTGTTTGGCTCAGAGGCATGTGGGTCCATGGGTCCRGACACGGCAGCAGCACCGTCACCCTTACACATTAATGAGAGCCATGTGCATGCAGAGCTTGAACCCGCTTAGTGTCAGCGAGCAGCTGACATCCTGGAGCCACATCAAAGCCTGCCACACAGCCGAGGAGATGAGAAAACCTYGTGTAAACCTCAGGATGAGCAAATGTGCCTGTCCTGGTCACCTTTGGGCTTTTACTCCCTCCTCCAATTCCTTCCTCGGTGAGCAGGAAGAKCTGAAGTGCCGGATGACAAACGCCACTGTCATCTTTCCTAATTTTGGGAGTGGAGARGAGGAAGGAGCAGRAAAACATGCTTTGCCTCCCTGTGGYCTGGGTGTGTTGTAACCRGCGAGCAGCAAATCCAGGGCAGGGCAGTGTGGTGCAAACGAGAAAAATCTGCTCTGGAGCCAGCATGAAAGCAAAGCTACCCGTGTTTTCCTAACTGTGCAGCTCCAACCTGCTT